TTCAATTTATTTGGTGAAAAAACTAGGTTTGTACTTAAACAGTTTCCCCTAGTTTGGATTTTGCTGACTGCATCTCCCTAGCACTGTTTAACTTAGTCAACTTTACTTTATATTTCTTATAAATAATTAGATCTAGAGCAGGGGTTGGCAAACCACAGCCCAAGGGCCAAGTATGGGTCTCTGCATATTTTATAAATAAAGTTTTATTGGAGCACGCCATGCCCATTCATTCACTTATTGCCTATGGCTGCTATTGTGCTTCAGCAGCAAAGTGGCATATTCAGGAGAGAAAGCATATGGCTGGTTAAGTCTACAATATATACTATCTGACTCCTGGTCTATAAAATTAATCTGATACTGGTTGTTTTTTAGTAGAAATCTTTCTTAGGTGATGATGGGTTCAGTGCAATGGTAAAAGTGTCTTAGAGTGTGTGTGACAGATTGATTTATGACAGAAGTAATGACTGAAGTAATGTAAGTCAGTGAAAAAGAAACCTAAATTATTTAACGCATCATGCAGGGACAGTTGGCTTTCTCGGATGGGGTTGGGGGGGAGTGGATTCCTACCTGTCATCATACAGAAAAAGAAGTTTAAATAGATTAATACACTAAAGACTCCTAGACTGTATTTATGGTATCAGGATAGTGAATGAGGGGCGCCTGGCTGGCTCAATCGTTAAGCGTCTGCCTTCGGCTCAGGTCATGATCCCAGGGTCCTGGGATCGAGTCCCACATCGGGCTCCCTGCTCCGCGGGAGGCCTGCTTCTCCCTCTCCCACTCCCCCTGCTTGTGTTCCTGCTTTCGCTGTCTCTCTCTCTGTCAAATAAATAAATAAAATCTTTAAAAAAAAAATGGATAGTCAATGAGTTCTTAAGATACAAGAAGAACAAACCATGGTGAAGGTCAGTACGTTTGCGTTAAAACTAAAGCCCAGGAAGATGGCAGGGTAAGAAGCACTAGGAAATCTGTCACCCCATCTAGATAACAGTTGTACTGGCAGAATCTGATTTTGGAACTCTGGAATCTTGAAGGCTTGCAACTTCCCCAGGAAGACTTGAATGGTAAATTGTGGGTAATTTAAGTCAGTATTGGCTCTTAGCACAATAGCAGCTACCTAACCCCCAGCCCCTTGGCAGGCAGCTGTGCACATGTTCTTGGAGCAGCGGCCCCAGTTCACTAAATGTTGGAGATCTGTGCTCTGATCACTGATTGCTACTTCTGATCACACCAGTGCAGACACAGACATTGTTGCAAGCCTCTTCCCCTCCTGCCGAAGTAACATTCAGGAGATTTAAAAGGCCATTGTCCCCCTCCCCTTATATTTTTCAACTTTTCCCCTTTTGTGAGCCAGACTTTAAAGTTTAGGGCATTCCAGAACAACTGCATATATGGAGATAATTAAAAAGTGGTTGTGCATACCCAGGGAAAGGCTCAGAAAAGACCTGAGAAAACATTTAGGTTTATACCTCAGTGGGTCTTTGGCCCAGAGACAGCCTACAACAATCAAAAAAATCAGTATGGGGAAGAAGAATATGATTTTCAGAGTTACCACATCATTAGACTCAAATGTCCAGTGTTCAACCAAAAATCAGAAGGCATGCACAGAAAGTATGACCCGTTCAAAGGAAAAAATAAATCAACAGAAACTATCTCTGAAAAAGATCTAAATGTCAAGCCTACTAGACAAAGACTTTATTATTTTTAGAGAGAGCATGCGCAAGTGGGGTGGGGGAAGGGCAGAGGAAGAAGGAGAGATTTTTTTTTTTTTTTTTAAGATTCCACTAATTTATATGACAGCATAAGTAAGCAGAGCAGCAGGGAGAGGGAGAAGCAGAGTCCCCACTGAGCAGAGAGCCTCAGACGCTGGGGTCCATCCCAGGACCCTGGGATCACGGCCAGAGTGGAAAGCAGATGCTTAACTGAGAAAGGGGTGGGGGGGGGGGGGGGGGGGCGGATCTTAAGCAGGCTCCATGCTCAGTGCGACCCTGAGATCATGACCAGAGCCAAAATTAAGTCAGATGCCTAACCAACTGAACCACCCGGGCACCCCTAAACAAAGACTTTATTTTTTTTAAAGATTTTATTTATTTATTAGAGCGGGGGGCGGGGGGATAGCGGAGAGAGAGAAGCAGGCTTCCCGCTGAGCAAGGAGCCCAATGCAGGGCTCCATCCTAGGACCCCGGGATCATGACCTGAGCCAAAGGCAGACACTTAACCAACTGAGCCACCCAGGCGTCCCTAGACAAAGATTTTAAAACAACGGTTTTAAAGATGCTCAACTAAAAGAAGATGTGGAGAAAGTCAAGAAAACAATGTGAACAAAATGGAAATATCTATAAAGGAATAGAAAACCTAACAGGAAACCAAAAAGAAATTCTGGAGCTGAAAAAGTACAATAACAAATGAAAATTCACTAGAGGGATTCAAAGGCAGATTTCCAGAGCAGAAGAAAGTTCCTGGCTGCCTCAGAGGAGCATGTGACTCTTGATCTTGAGGTTGTGAGATCAAGCCCCCCATTGGGTGTAGAGATTACTAAAAGTAAATAACTTTTTAAAAAATCAAGATAATGGAAATTAATGAGGCTGACGAACAGAAAAAAAAGATTGAAGAGAAGCTAACAGCCTAAGGAGTATGTGGGCCACTATCAAGCAGATACTAATAAGAATTGTGGGATTGCACAGTTGTGGGAATATAAAATGGGACAGCTGCAAAAAACAGTTGGATAGTTCCTCAAAAAAATAAAAATATCGTATGATCTAGCAATTCCAGTTCTGGGTTCTCAAAAGAATTGAAAGCAGGGTCTCAAGAGTTACTGATACACTCAAGTTCATAGCAGCATCATTTATACTAGCTAAAACGTGGAAGCAGGGGTGCCTGGCTGGTTCACTTGGAGGAGCATGGGCCTCTTGATCTCAGGGTTGTGAGTTTGAGCCCCACATTGGGCACAGAGATTGCTTAAAAATAAAATCTTAAAAAAAAAAGTGGAAGCAACCCAAGTGTCCGTTGGTAGATGAATGTGATATTTACATACAATAGAATATTTTTCAGCCTTTAAAAGGAAGACAGTTCTTCAATATGCTACAACATGGATGAACCTTGAGGACAGTGTGCTAAATGATATAAGCCAGTCACAGAAGGACAAATCCTACAGGATTTTACTTACACAAGATGCCGAATATGGTCACAGTCCTAAAGTCAGAAAGTATAATGGTGCTTGCCAGGATCTGGGGGAAGGAGGAATGGGATGCTACTGTTTAATAGGTATAGAGTTGCAGTTTTATGAGACAAAAAATAGGGGATGGATAGATGGTTGCACAACAGTCTGAGTGTATTTGTACCACTGAACTGTACACTTAAAAGTGATAAATTTTGTTATATGAATTTTACCACAGTGGAGAAAACGGGGCATAAAGCCTACTGGAAATATTAGTATAAGCAAGTCACGCCACAGACCAGAAGACATGTGCAGCACATGAGTTGCAGAGCACAAGTATCCAGCAATTCTACGTGTTTCTGTCCACCATAGAGAAACTCACACATGTACACAAGAACTCTGCAGAAAAGCTCATTGCTAGAAAAGGGGACAAACTTATTAGCCCTCAGGGAGGTGGGGAGATGAGCTAGAATTAATTAAGTGGCATTCTAAAAGTTGAATTGATTGTACTGAGTGTACATGGTTAGATTTAAAAAAAACAGTGTTGAGTGTTTTTTAATTTAAGTAAGCATGGTCTGAAATTATCTGTTTGGTGTGCATCTGAAATATTTAACCCTGCTGGTGTTTTTTTTGTAACTTTTGTATTTTGTACAATTTTTATTTTTTTGTAACTTTCCCTATGTTTGAAATGTTTTATAATTAACTGTTAAACAAAAAACAGGTAGTTACACTCCCTGGCTGTAGATTGTTGGTGGTGCCATTGCTGGGGGCGGCAGGAGGAGGGGCTGACAGCTGTGGATGGCAGGTAGCTCAGGTCCATAGTCATTGCTCCTTAGTTCTACACAGCCAGTGACTGCTCAGGTAAGGCATTTTGGTCTTCTGTTGGGAACTGTGACTCTTCTTCCAGGAGGCAGAAGCAACTGTCAGAGCATTGCAGGGTCCAGGCTCTTAGAATGAATACCAGACATCTGAAAGTGAGGGCATTTCATTACCTGCTCTGTGTTCCCGCCTGTGAAAGCACAGAGCCTCTGACATTTCCTCCTTTCTCACCGGCAGTCTGCAAACTGGGAGTGCCCAGGCATTGTCTCAGATTTAAAAGAATTTCCCTTTTGGGGGGCCTGGGTTGCTCAGTTGGTTGGGCATCTGATTCTTGTTTCCCTTCAGGTCATGATCCTCAGGGTCGTGGGATCGAGCCCTGCACTGGGCTCTTCCCTGGGCATGGAGTCTGCTTGGGATTCTCTCTCTCCATCTCTCTCTGCCCCTCGCCCCACTCGCATGCATGGCGTGTACAGGCTCGCTCTCCCTCTCTTTAAAATAAGTAAGTCTTGGGGTGCCTGGGTGGCTCAGTCATTAAGCATCTGCCTTTGGCTCAGGTCATGATCTCAGGGTCCTGGGATCGAGTCCCAAGTCGGGCTCCCCGCTCATTGGGAAGCCTGCTTCTCCCTCTGCCTCTGCTGCTCCCCCTGCTGTGTGCTCTCTCTCTCTCTCTCTCTCTCTCTCTGTCAAATAAATAAAATCTTTAAAAAAATAAAAAAATTTTAAAAAAGTCTTTTTAAAAAAAATAATTTCTATTTCTGGCTTTAAATTGTGCTGTCATCCAGCTGTCTCAGGATTTGCTTCTCATCTTGATTGCTTTTGGGTTTTGAATACTATACAGCCTAATAGTCTATTCCCATTTCCAGGGAAACATTTAAGTATTTGTATCTTATTTCCCCTCCGGGGAGTAGCGTTGGCCAGGAGATCCGTCTATGTGGATGTGTAGTATCACTGAATTATGGGGTGAAACCCATTCTTTCCTGGTGCAGCTGACTAGGAAATGTTCACATAGCATCCTTGTTTCTTGCAGAACTCACAATACTTTATATGCACCAGAAATGCTGGCCAAGATGGCAGAGCCTTTCACAAAAGCTCTGGATATGCTTGAAGCGGAGAAATCTGCAATTTTAGGTAAGAAATCTAACCTGTTTTTCTTTCCTTGAAGTTTACCTTACCTCCAGTAGACTCCTCCAGCAGCGTCGGGGTGCCTGTGTCACCATCAGCTCCTCCTCGCCTGGCACCACCTCAACTGTCTGTTTCTCTGTGCAGCTCCTGCAGGGTCTCTAGGAACAAGTGCATTGACTTCATTATCTTGGGTCTTCCAAGGCAGTTGTTCCCCTCTGCCACCCCCCTCTGCACTGTGTTAACCCTTCCAGGTAGAGGGGTGTGTCAGAGCCTTTAGATTATAAATAAACCATGGTCTTTTTGACCTGAAGGATATTAGCAGACTTTTCCTGCTTTCACATATGAAAAAAAAAGTGTTAAGTCAGTTAAACTCTTAAATAAATAAATCTTGGGGTGCCTGGGTGGCTCAGTTGGTTGGACGACTGCCTTCGGCTCAGGTCATGATCCTGGAGTCCTGGGATCGCGTCCCACATCGGGCTCCCTGCTCAGCGGGGAGTCTGCTGCTCCCTCTGACCCTCTTCCCTCTCGTGCTCTCTATCTCTCATTCTCTCTCTCTCAAATAAATAAAATCTTAAAA